AACTAATAAATATTTGTGACAAATAACCCATTATTTGGAGCCACCTTTAGATAAATAAATATTTTTATTTTAATAAATAAAGCGACCGTACCAATATATGCAAAAATCTTATATTAATTATTTGCTAACCCCTCGTAAAGCGTCAAGAAAAAATTGCAGCATGGGATATCGTTGACCTCTGTTTTTTCCTGCTTACGTTGAATGAGTGCTATTGAAAGGTCGCAATTTTTTGCGACAGTCTGTTGCTCCGGCCGATGAAATAAAACACGCGGTGCCCAATTACGCCAGTTCGTTTAATTAATCTATAAATAGTAATTGTCAATAGACGCCTAATTGTAAATTGGACGTAATATGCTCAAACAGGTTGGGTAGTAGGGAATGCAATCGCGCACCAAAATCTCAATGTCGCAAACCCGCGGGATTAAAGCAACCAATCCCGCGGATCCGCAAAATTGCGGGATTGTAAACAATAAATGCTCTTCTTTTCTCTCTCCGATTTTGCCGATTTTCTCTCTCCGATTTGAACCAGGTTTTAGACGCATCTATTGTGATTAAGATGCTATGTGGTTTTCGAAAATATATTTAGCGAATTCTCGTATACAGGGTGTTTTATAATAGTGTACAAATTTGGTCAAGAATCTTTTTTACCGAAAATTTACAATTTTTGAAAAATCGAAATTTTAACTATGTACGACTAATCTGTATTAAAATTAGAAAAAAAAATTGGTGTTTTTTTTAATTTTTTGTTTTAAGGAAAATACAATTTTTTTTTCCAAAAATATGTATGCATTTATAGTCATACATTTGGTCCTAAATGGTACAAAAGTCATTGTACATTTTCCATAGGCCCACAATATATTGATATAGCCTGTATCTTAAACTGTCTGTATAGAAATTTGGACCGATGTATACAGGGTGTTCAAAAAATATATTTAATATTAAATAAACTTAAATTTTATTATAATTTATCTACTTATTTTATAAATAAAAATATTATTCTGATGTTGAAGTTGTTTTTAACTTGTGTTAGTTATCTGCTTTCAGATACACTCTATATCAATAATTTTTTGGCATATGCAGAATGTACAAAGCTTTTTGTACCATTTAGGACCATCGTATAAAAAACGTCGTATTTTCCTAAAAACAAAAAAAAAATAAAAAACCAAAAAAAACAAAATCAAATTGTTTTTTTCTAATTTCAGTACAGATTAGTCTTACTTGGTAAAAATTTCGATTTTTTAAAAATTGTAAATTTGCGGTAAAAAAGATTCTTGACAAAATTTTCACTCTTATAACATCCTGTATACGAGAATTCGCTAAATATACTTTCATATTTTCGAAAACCACATAGAATCTTAATCACAATAGATGCATCTAAAACCTGGTCCCAACCGCATCCCAAAATCTTTTTTAGTTCAAGAGATATTCAACTTTAAATTTGCCCTAAAATTTTGCTTGTCCCGATAATTATGTCCGGTAGTTTATTTGACGTAATTGTCCACAAGTACTAGTAAAACGCTTTTCTTCACTTAGGCACGCCAGAAAGAAATCTAACAATGAACCTGTTTGTTTCACTTATTTTTAATGGCTAAGCCATAAGGGGAATCCCCTGGTGTCGATCCCACAGATCCCGCACGGTAAATCCCGCAACTTTGATCCCGCGGAGTCACAGAGGGATCCCGCATTTGCGGGATCGCATTCCCTATTGGGTAGTTAAGGTTCATTTTTGTATTTAAAGATACCATAAAAAGTTATCCCTGCTAATTTTGTAATATTATGGTCCCATCTCAGGTTCGGTCTTCTTCTAGGTTTCTTAATTCCTCGTGGATACCATGCTGTAATTTTTGTAGTCCATCTGTTGTCCGTTCTTCTTGCCAGGTTTTCTGCCCATTGCCATTTGCGGGATTTGACTCTGTAGATGGCATCTGTTACCTGGGTCTTTTGTCGTATCCACTCTATTCTTTTACGGTCTCTCTTGGTCATTCCTATGATGTCCGTTTTAACTGTCCAGGTTTCGCATGCATAGGTCATGACTGGTAGTACACATTGGTCGAATGTTTCCTTCTTTAAATAGAGTGGCATTCTTGATTTAAATATGATTGAGTTTCTTCCAATTTGACTTAAGATCGCTGTCATTTTGTACGAAAAATTATACGGCGAATGTCATCGATCGTCATTTCCAAGCCAATTCTACTAGCCTTGTTACGAATCTTTTCAGGAAAAAATAATCCCAGGGTCAAAAAAAATCTATTTTTAATTAATTCTTGTCAATAGAGAAAGCGTTCCATTGATTGGACCTAATTAAAATTGTTGGCGAAAGAATTATGTTCAAGGGTCTGTCTAACAAGCAGGGCCATTTTATTCATTAGTCACACTCACAAAAAGGACAGGGGGTTAATAAAAAAAACGAATATGGAATTACTCAGGGAAATGGAAAGCATATATGTATATGCTGATTGTAGGGAATATCACTTTTTTATATATCTTTTGCTATGGGGAATGTTTTTTTTTGAGAGACCGAACAAAAGTTGTTTATAATACACTAGAGGAAAACACGAGATTTAGTAAATTTGAAAATATACGTCATATAAACTTGCAGTAATAATAAAAATGTCCACTTATGGAAATAAAAACAGTAAATTAATACTCATTAATATACCGAGTGCGTCTCAAAAGTGGCTCACCCCTATAACTTTTTTATTTTTTTTTCAGATAAAAAAACTAGATTTCGAATGTTAGTATATTACATAAATTAGGATTGATTTGACTTAATCAATAATTGTTTTTGGTCACTTCCTGTTTCACCGGAAATGATAACAACTTTTGTTTTTTAAATGGCACTCTCGGTATAATTTTACTTTATTCGATAGAAAAGTACACTCTGTATAGAATGACATATCATTTGTTAACATTTGACATTTTTGCTTATAAAATCGCGTTTTAAATTTCAATCTAGAGTGCCATGGCTGTGTTAAAAACACTAATTTTTAATCAAGGAGTCTTGGAAAAATAGATTTTATCGTCTAAAGTTTTTCGTTTGTTGTCCTGCCCAGTGCCGGACTTCGACATCCAGGGCCCCTAGGCACTTGACATTTGGGGCCCCCCATGTCATAGCCAATTTGGAGCTTATATATAAAAGTTGCGCGCCTAGGCATGGGGCCCCTAGGCTGGCTGGGCCCCTAGGCCCGGGCCTTGCAGGACTAGGAGGAATTCCGGCCCTGGTCAATTTTAATATTATCTTATTTTTTTTAAACGGAACAAGGATGGCTCATTAGCATATTTGGAAAAAGCATTTTTTACGAATAATTTGGTACTACACACTTGGTATTTCGAGTCAAATTGTCGTTATGAACCGCATGTTACAATTTCAAATAAACCATATGCAAAAATGTCAAAAGTTGACATATGATATGTCATTCTACTCCGAGTGTAATTTTATATCGAATAAAGTAAAAATATACCGAGGGTGCCATTTAAAAATCAAAATTTGTTGTCATTTCCGGCGAGAAAGAAAGTGACCAAAAACAATAATTGAATACGTCAATCAATCCTAATTTATGTCATATACTAATATACCAAATCTCGTTTTTTTGTCTGAAAAAATAAAATAGTTATAGGGGTGAGCCAGTTTCGAGACGCAGCCGGTATACATCTTTTTTAGACTTTTTTTTAATAATTACTCGAAAAGAAATTGCTTCATTGTTGTTACGAGTTCGATCAAACAGTAACTATGCCTATGGATAATTGAGTGTCGTTTCTACCAATGGAACTCTGTTTACAGAACCACAGACTAAATAAAAGAATCTTTTGATATCCCCCCTTGGCTTTGACTTTTCGTTGTCGATGAAAACAGTATCCGACTAGAAATTTCCAGAATGTTCTTCATTTTGAAAACACCAGATGCTATTTTGTTGAAAACTACACTATCTATTTTTTGTTGCGATTTTGTACGTTTTTTTATTGTCTCCATTAAAATGGAAGAAAAATTTAAAAGAAACTGAAGAAGCACGTCAAGCGTTACTTTCACCTAAAAGTGAGTCCATTTACCAAAAGGAATATAAGACATGCCTGCAGTGTCTGAGACAGAAAAATATTGCAGCAGGGTATGTCGATGAACTTGTTCTTTTATAAATATATCATGTTGTGACGTTAATGAATGTAAATAAATTATTAGAGCAGTTAGAGAGTGCCCATTTTCATTTTGTACTATTACTCAAAATCTCTATTGTATTTCATGGTTGTTACCTATAAAAAGTGTAGGGAATTCTTCTTCTTTACGTGCCATCTCTTTCGTGGAGGTTGGCGACCAAATTGGCAAAATCTTCACGATTTTCGGCTTTCCTTATGAGTTCTTCAAAAGTTAGGTGAGTCCAATTTCTGATGTTTCTTAGCCAAGATAGTTTTTTCCTGCCGAGACCTCTATATCCTTCAATTTTACCCTTAACTATTAATTGCAAGACGTGGTATTTTTCATTTCTCAATATGTGCCCTAAGTATAATGTTTTTCTTATTTTTATTATATTGAGCAGTTCTCTTTTTCTGCTTATTCTGTTGTAAACTTCGGTATTTGTGATGTTGTCTGTCCATGGAATTTTAAGCATTTTCGATATATCTATGTTTCGAACGATTCGAGACGATTTACCTCTTGATCCTCAGTGTCCATGTTTCTCCTCCATATAATAGGATTGACCAAACATAATACCTGACGAGCCTAGTTCTTAACTCAAGGTCCAATCTGGGGTTCGGGAAATCGTTCTTCATTTTTAAAAATGCATTTCTCTCTTGTTCTATTCTGGTTTTTATCTCCACGTCGTTGTTTAAGGTGATTCTTCTCTATTCAAGACCCCAAATATTTGAACTTGTAGACAGTTAAAATAGTACCTAGTTCAAACTAGTAGGGAATTACGGCATCTTAATTCCCGTTATGACTTTAGTTATGGTTAGCGTACAAACCGATCCAACATACCATTCATCTCATCTTCAACTTTGGCGTTTTCCAGGGGGACTTCGTGGGTGCCTTCGCGTCCAGCAACCTAGGTGACGTCAGTCCCAACCTGAACGGCCCCGTCTGCGTCAACACTGGCGAGGCCTGCGACTACGTGACCAGCACGTGCGGGGGCGAGAACAAGTACTGCATCGCCTCGGGACCGGGCAAGGATATGTTCGAGAGCGCGGAGATCATCGCCACGAGGCTCTTCAGCAAATCCAAGGTAAGGTAAAGGCTGGATAAGGGATGTGCAAGTCTAAAAGGGGTTTATTTTTGTATACCAAGTTTTGGGTGATACCTACTATAGGTACAAATAAAACAGATGATAAAACAGTACAAATAAAACAGATAAAACAGGTACAGAAAAACAGAAACAAACAGAACTAACCTGTTTGTTTCACTTATTTTTAATGGCTAAGCCGTAAGGGGAATACCCAGGGTTCCGAGCGTCGACGCCTCGGCCCGGAACGAAGCGGTTTGATCTTGATTGAGATTGATTCGGTTACCCACTAGTAATGTGTCGATCCCGCAGATCCCGCACGGTAAATCCCGCAACTTTGATCCCGCGGAATCTCAGAGGGATCCCGCATTTGCGGGATTGCATTCCCTAGTTTTGTTCATTATTCATGTTGGGGATTTATTTTTAAATTAATGTTAATCGTTAGGGCAACCATTAAACTCATAAAATATCTATTTCTTTTGCATAATCAAAATTGGCACTCTAAATTTTACATACCAAATTGTTAGTCTAAATCTCTATCTATTTTATACCGATGTCACTTGTCTTGTCAGGATTCAATTCATTACATAGACAATAAAATAAATACTTTTTATTTCTTTATCTATGATTCATTATTAGAATTCTCAGAATGTTGTTAACAAAAGTTTCATATTAAAAGAAAATTTTAATCAATCACAATTGTTTATCTCCATCATTTACCGGATTAATAATACAGAAATTACACAGCTCATTTACAAACAATTTATTATTTATAGTGACTTACAGTAATTTTATTAAATTATACGAATATTCTCGTTGATTATTGGTTTGAAATAAATATAACAGTGTCCTCCAATGAAAATGCGAGTTACTAACTCTAAATGCTAATTCTGAGCTGGCAAACGAGCTAGATGCTTTACCTAGACCGTTATTCAGGAGCTACAAACACTTTAGTTCTCAGCAGATACGCCTATACGCCATCGACGTTCTTTTTTTTTATTGATATACTTTTTTCAAGAAGAACATTTGCCTGGTTTACAGATAAATTATATCTTTTGTAGGAACTTCTTAGTAATGAAACAGCACAGGAGTTAAGTGGTCCAATCAAATTCATTCATCAATGGGTCGAAGTACCAAAACAAGCTGTAGATATTCAATTAGAAAATGGTACAATTCAAACCGTAAGTACCACAGTATCCTTACTGATACTAAAAGTATTTTTTTATATTTTACATGAAAAATTACCAATATATCTAAATCCAATGATTAAAGAATCCAAGGACAAATAACACCCGAGAGCAAATTGTGACGATGTCACCAAACAGTGCCGTGGCACATATTTTTCTTAACCTAGCTGTTTGAAGCAATATTTATATTTTTTGATAATTGTTTTGACTACGCCTATGGTGTATCATCCTAATTAATTACGAAAAAAAAACGTATTAAAATGATAACAAACGGTACAATCTAGTATCGACGTATAGCACATATCAAGTACATATAGATGTTAATTGGAATTGAAGAATAATTATCGAATTCAATAAGAAAACGCTAAAAAGTTGGAGTGGACTGTTTATTTACCTATGAATTCCTGCCTTTTTCTTATCGCTGCTGCTTTTACACTTGAAAGCTGAACAACTAATCACCATTGTAATAAAGTTTATACAAAGTTTACTACACACAAACTATTAAAAATCGCTAAAATTGTCGCTGGTGACCAAATGATGACTCATTGTTTGCCACCAAAACAAAAAAAAAGGTCACAAATTCTGCTGCAGCCCGTATAGGGGCATTACATTTCCTTATATTCTTTAGTCATTGTCTAAATCAGTTATTTATTTGTTGAAGTCTATAGTTTAAGGGGTTACATTTATGGGAAATTTATAGGTTAAAGGATGTCTTCCAGCCATGGGTTATAGTTTTGCAGCTGGTACAACCGACGGACCGGGCGAGTTTGACTTCAAACAAGGTTCCAGTACTGACAATCCCTTCTGGAATATCGTCAGAGACTTCGTTTTTCCACCCACCACCGAAGACATCAACTGTCACTATCCCAAACCCATCCTAATCGCATCTGGAAGGGTAAGACATAATTAATCGTACAATTAGTTAAAAATAAACACATCAAATAGTTTTTTATACAAGACGATAAAATGGTATTTTATCGTCGATCGAAAAAATTAATTCACGAGCGATGAAATCGCGAGTGAATTAATTTCGGAAGACGATAATGCAATTTTATCGTCGTGTATAAAATATTTTCTTCCATAGCGAGTTACGTTTTAAAACATTTTCAGAAATTATTATTTCAAGGAATTTATTAGGAATAGAAAAAATATTGTGCTGGGTTGGCGTTGGCTTCTATGTAATTTGACAAATAAATAAAGTTGTCTCTTTAGTTGTCAGTTTTGAGTCAATATTTTTTAATTCTCTTTCGTGTCGATTGCTGATTGAATTGGAGCCAGAAATAGCTCAAAACGAAATAAATAAATTACCAACAGATATTCAGGCTGAGGCGACAAACGCCATATCCAAACTACTTCCATTTAAATCCCGAATAACTTATGAAACGGAATACAAAAATTTTCAAAATTGGAAGCAATTTAAAAACGTGCCAGAAGAAATAAAGTTTTTAACCTATCCTCGCTGTTAAAGTATCATTTAATCTACCCTTGCAGTTAAAGTACTATTTTATGTACTATTTTTGATAGATATAAGGCAATTTTAACAGTTGCTATGGAAAAAATCATTATACTCTTACTTAAAGCTTGCAATTCTGGGTGCATTATAATAAATTAATAGACAATGTTAATTTCTAGATAAAAGTTCCTTACAATTGGCAACCGGAAATAGTATCTACCCAAATCCTGTTGCTGGGAAATTTTGCCCTTGTTGGTGTTCCGGGAGAATTCACCACCATGTCGGGGAGACGGATGCGTGACGCTGTCAAAAACGTCATAGTAGACAGTGGCGGAGATAGTAGCACCGAAGTAGTCATCGCGGGATTGAGCAATACCTACACTAGCTATATAGCTACTTACGAAGAATATCAGGTAAATATTAGTTATACACTTAGATGCAAAAAAAGCAACGGAAAAATTGTCGGTCTAGATTTTAAAATGTTATATTAGTTTTGAAAATACTACTGGTCGCGTTTATATGGGACCCATCTTTGAAAAAACGACATGCTAGAAGCAACATGGGTTCAATAACCTGCCTGTCAACACGTACTTAAGTCGATAGAGCCGGCATTGATGAGCGAACAGGGCAAGGCCGTTCAAATCTGGACCGGCGGATAAAGAAAGCGATATTATTTTAAAAGAAAATATGTCAAGGCATGGGTTGTTAGGTACAGTTTGGCTATTTTAATCTAACTATTTCCGTAAGGGGCAAATTATACGAGAAAGAGCAGAATCACATAAATAATAAATTTAGACTAATTACCATATTTTTTTATATGATTATTATTTTTTTAATTAACAACTTAGGACATAGAAAAAGTTTGCATGGTTTCCACCGCCAACAGGTGTTAAAACAAATGAATCCAAGGCGTTGTCAAATATTTATTGGGATAAGTTGATAAGTTTTTACCGTTTGAATATTGTTGTAAATAATAATTATTATCATTATCAATAATAAACTTATCAAAGTTCACAACACGGCGAAATTTCAGTAAAATCAGCCAACGGATCTTTGAGATATTAATAAAAAAATGTCTATTAGGAAACATCTTGACACCCTGTATCTTTAAAATTATGCATTTCCGGACACATGTTTAAATTAACTTTTACCTTAAAACTCTCAAAGAATCACTTCCTGAAGTTGGCCAGATACTACTTAATTAACACCCTGTATTTAAAAATGGCTAGCTAGTGATTTTGTAAGTAAAGCTATGTTTATTTTAATAGAAAAAAAATACATTTCATAAAAAATAAACAAACCCATAATTCAATTACTGTACACTAATTAATTAACTTTAAATGCACTTCGTAGAGTATACCAAATATGTAAAAAAAATTCCAATAAAAAATCCACAAATGGCACATTAAAATCTGCATTATCTGAAATCAAATTATAGGTATCTAAACGGCCAATCAGCCAGACAACAGTGACAGCTCAAAAGTCTGGACGTGTTTTTGGTAGGCTCGCCCGACTGCGAGATATTAGGTCTGACTTATAAATTTCGACTATTTAAAATTAAGTAATCTCAAATTTTTAAATCGTACACCGTATGTATTATCATTTTTTCTGGTAGAATTTACAAATTTTGCGTCACTGATAATTTTTACCCTACCGAAATCCAACATTTCTTTAAAAAAATAGAATTATTACAACATCTATTAATTTTAGATATATAATATCAAAAAATGCAAGAAAAGTTACCGAATTGTACGTATGTATAACCCAATACTAAAGTAAAAAATAGGGTATTCCCATTAGAAAATATGTTATATCCACAACACTTTTTTGAAGTACCCTGTATACTCTATAGTAATGTTAAAATGTGCTTCTTAACCTTACCAATAAATTTTTGTATTTAACATTTTGTTCTAAAAACATTAAAAAACGTATTATGTAAAAAACGTCGTGTAAGGGATAAAGCGGAAAACAGCCAAAAGGGGGAAAACCGACGATGAATACCATGTTAAAGACCGAATACCATATTAAAGATACAAAAATTTATTACTGTATGCGTTATTATTTGGCCATCGTTTCTTATATTCAATTGCAATTTAATATGTGGCTTCCTTTCACTATGATCCCACTCGGCTTGTCTCGTGGCAGGTTTGCGTAAAAAATGGATAGAAAATGTCTCGCTCTCGTCTCGCTCTTGTCTTGCTCTCGTCTCGCGCTCGGCTCGTCAGGTCTGGATGTTGCAAAATCTGTGAGTTTTTTCTTTATTTTTAGACGTATTTCTTTGATTTTTTTTACGAAACTGTATATAAATATATCAACTTTAATTCGTAAATTCAGTTTATTATAAACTTTAGTATTTGACTTATTATACAGGGTTAATCGAAGAGTTGTTTTTTACCCTATCTTCATTAAAACACCCTGAGCAATGATTTTGTTAGCAAATTTTTCTAAAACATTATTTGTCGGTCAGAACCTTTGAATAAGAAGACTAAGGAAGGAGCATAATGCTATCCATGTATTCATGCATGGTGGGCGGAAAAGCCACCATAAAAGCTCTCTAGGGTGGGGATCCTTGACAGTTCTGTTTGACGATTCATTTGACACATTTGAATTTGATTTGAAATTTTGTGGATTTGTCAGTCTTTACGGAGCTTATTTTATGTTATTTATTATTTATTCTACTACTGATAGTTGTATAAAGGTAGTAAATCTAGATGGAAATTGTGGCAGGACTTAAATTAACAGTGACACTATCGCGATTTATCGAAAAAGACTCTAAAATAGTTGGTTGTGTAGCGTGCGGTAGATCTCGGCAAAAATTGTGTGAAATAATGGAACAACTTTTCGCTAGTAAGTGGCTATATAATATACATACGTGTAGTAAACCGATCATTTATGAAATTCACTTAAATTAACTAAATTATATATTTTTCTTGCATTTTAGCTTTTATTTATTACTTGTCAAAGATTAGATGTCAAAGAATTTAGATACGTTAATTTGACTTACCTGCTTCAGTAACGTATCGGATGTTTGTGTTAATAAATACTTATTATAACTTATCTATTTTTATTAGAATTATATATTTTTATAACAATTTTAATAACTACCAACATTTATTCACAACGTAAAATAAAACAACAAATTATTGAGTCTACCCCACGTCTACCCTACATCATAGTTTTACATTTTTTAAATAAAATTAGAACGACACTGATAAACCGGAATTTAAGTCGGCCATATTTGAGGCCCATCGCGGTGTACCTAAGATTTTTGATATGCTCCTTCCTTAGTCTTCTTATTCAAAGGTCAGAACCATGTCCCCTTTTTAGTTTTTTGACTCATGTCAACACATGCCTTGGTGAATTTTCAAGAGCAAAATGAACTTGCCACAAACATTTTGCAGTTTTAGTATTGAAAATACTTCTGGCCGCGTTTATATGGGACCCATCTTTGAAAAAACGACATGCTAGAGGCGACATGGAGTTCAATAACCTGCCTAATCAACTTGTCAACACGTAAGTCGATAGCTGAAGGCTGTCCGAGGGTCGAAATGAGGTCTTATTAGTGTGGGCCAACTGTTTTATGGATATGGATGTTTAGTCTCTGAAAGCCGATATTATTATAAAAAAGAATATGCGTCAAGGCATAGGGTTTTAAGTACAGTTGGGCTATTTTAATCTAACTCTTTCCTTATGAGAAGCAGGGGGCAAATTATACGTGAAAGAGCGGAATAACATAAATAATAAATTTAGACTAATGCAATATTTTTTCTTGGCGCGTAGAATAATGCGCACCATCGTTGCATTAAAGGGAATAATTAATTAAATCATTAAGTTCCAAAACATATAATAATTCGGGTCTCATCGGATCTGCTGATATATTTTGTTAAAATTTAGGCTATTAGGACCTATATTTTTTATATGATAATTATTTTTTTAATTAACAACTTAGGACACAGAAAAAGCTTGCATGGTTTCCACCGCCAACGTAAAACATATTAATTCAGGGCGGTGCCAAATATTTATTGGGATAAGTTTTTAAACGATTTAAATATTGTTGTAAATAATAATTATCAGCAACAAAGAATCACCTCCTGAAGTTTGGCCAGATACTTAATTAACATCCTGTATTTAAAAATGGCTAGCTAGTGATTTAGTAAGCTATGTTTATTTTAATAGGAAAAAATTCATTTCATAAAAAATAAACAAACCGATAATACAAATACTATACACCAATTAATTAATTTTAATTGTATCTAAAGGCACTTTAATAATTGAAAAATGGACAGGAGCACTTAAAAATAACTTCATAGAGTATACCAAATATGCTAAAAATAATAAGTCCAATAAAAAAACACAAATGGCACATTAAAATCTGCATTATCTGAAATCAAAGTATAGCTAAACGGCTAATAAAATAATAGAGACAAGACGCCGACATGTATAACAAGATGAGCAATTTTTAATAATTATTCCGAGTTATTATTACATACTTGTTTTACAATTATTGTAATACAGTAGCATTCCTTCAAATAAATTTTGATTTAAGTATTGTTAATATAGTCATTTTAATGATTATAGCCCGTATGATTTCTAAAATAAATAATCAATCGTGTTTTTATCAGAATTATTAAATGATTAAGTAGAAATAGTTAATATTTAGTAACTTCGTAAGTGTTATATTTTAATATAATTATGGATTTAATAATCAAATAATTATCTTAAGTTTAAATTGTGGTAAACTTGTATGAGTTTCAATCATTTATATTTAAAATCTTAGGGAAGGCAATATAGATTTTAGGCAGGAGAACTCAAGAGAACGACTGTGTAATTAGTAATTAAGACTTTACAATTTTTTTTACTTGCCATTTTCTTGTCGTTCACGTTGCACGTTGACTCTTCATTGTGTCACACACAATCTGAATTTCGGATATGAAGCAGAACTGATAAATTGGACCAAATATATTAATTGCAGGTAATCAAAGACATATTTTTGTTAACTTTGCAAACATTTAAGGCATACAATAATTTTAAAAAATTTGACGTGAGATTACTTTATAATTCTTGGAAGTCTTGGATGATAAAGATTTGAATTATTATGGGTCTGTTTTGTTTAAGAAGCTAACAAATAATTTCAAAAACTCAACTATCAAAATATAATGGTAGCAAATTTTTAAAATCATGCATAGCTATAATGTTCTATATTAATTGGACATACTGAATGTAAACTAGGTATAGTTGCTGCAATCGATAATATGTTTTGTTGCTTTTTCATATCACACAACATTTACATCATAACAAAAACTGTCAATACCGCTACTCATATTATGGGCACCTATGACTTAAATCTCATAATGATGTGTAAAAATACATAGGTATACATACTATGAGTAGTGGTTGTGAAGGGTTTTTACTA